CATTTAGGTTTGTAATAAAATGTTACAGATAATCTGGGCTACATTCCAAGGTATCCCTTATCTTTCCCTAAAAATCATACTCCTAGTCTGAGGGTTTGTAGCCAGAGTTAGTGGGGAGGAGACCATGGTCAGGGAACCTTCCTAACTAGTCAGGGTCTGTGTTAACTGAAGAGTCAAAGCAGCCAGAGAGCAGAAAGAACCCATCTGGGGGACTGCGGATATATTAAAACAAACAGCTACACCATAAGAAGAATGCCCTCCTCTCCTTTCTCTTTAACTCTTAATTTCTCTGCCACTGCTGGTTCCATCTCTCAAGTTCCCTATAAACTTGGTTAAGTACCCCATCCTGATAAAAAACAAAACAAAACAAAACAAACAAACAAACAAAAACATTACTCAGGTTTTAATCACAATTCTACTCATCCCTTTTAGATAAATTATCTTTTAGAGTTAGAATTTTACAGTCAACTTTCTCCAAAGACTGTGGACAGAGGCTCTCCTGTTTTCACCTCCTACTCCTTCAACCAGTTAATGTCTGGTTTTAGCCTCTCCCACTAGGATGAATCAGTTCTCTGGAAGATTTCCAGAGGTCTCCTAGTCACCAGTTCTCAGTCCTCGCACGCCTTAACCTCCCATTTGTGCCTCTGTTCTAGAAAACCACTAAATGGGAACATTTCCTATTTGGGCTTCCATAGACTTGCATTCTGCTATCCTTCTCCAGTCCACAAATGGAAGTCATCTCCAAAGTCTGATTCTAATTCTTTCTATAATTTCTCTCCCTTAGTCATTTTGTCTATATCCGTGACCTCAACTATAATTCATGTTGATGACTCCCAGTCTGTCTCTCGTTCTGACCTTTCCACCCACATTTCCATGCATTTGCTGGATAATTTCATATGGATATCCTTCTGACAACTCTATTTTAATGGGTGTAAGACTCAGTTTATCATCTTTTCCTTCAGAACTGCCCTTCTACCCTAGCTCAAAGCTTGAATCATCTTCATTTTTTCCCTTTTTCTCAGTTGGTCTCTACACAGATTAGGGTGGTCTTCTTTTCTTTCTGACCCATAAATTAGGAATTTGGGCCACAACTGCTTATTTCTAGGGAAATACTGCAGAGCTTTTCTTTTTCTTTTTATTAACATATAATGTACTATTTGCCCCAGGGGTACAGCTGTGAATCATCAGGTTTACAGGTTTCAAAGCACTCAACATAGCACATACCCTCCCCAATGTCCATAACCCAGCCACCCAACCCAATCCCCCTACCCCCCAGCTTCTTTCTTTTTATTAAAGCCCCTTACTCATCTTACTTTGGCAGGTGAATAACTCAGTGATGGGGGAAATCAGAGAGGACCTTCCAGCCACTAGGGGGCTGGGCTGATGTATGAAAGGTCCCTTTCTCACATAGGGTCCTGTCTCTTGCTCAGTCAAGCTGCAAGCCTCATGGGTGGGACAGTGTCAGGCTCTTTTTGGTTTCTGGTCTCCAGGTAAGAAGTAGTATCCTGGTGCCATAGTGTTGGGAAGACCTGTAGTTTTTCAGCTGTGACTGGTTGGGGATGTAGAGTTAAGGGAAAAGGAATAAGATGTCCCATTTTGTCCTTGAGTCTAAGCCATGTTTTTCAATCTGAATTTACCCTGAATAAAGTTAATATTTTAATTTCCTTTTGGTTCTTCATGTGTATTCTCAATTTGCTTGAGAAGCCAAAAGAAAGAAGGGCTACATGAGGGATCATCTACTACATACCTGATACCAAACACTCTTAACCATTTTTATCAACTCTTTTGTCTTCCCTTGGGTGACAATGCTAACTCACTAGCATAAAAAGTCAAAAAATTATCTATACTTTTCCATCTTGATTGTTCATTTCTTCATATGAAACATTTGATTAAGGACCTTCCTCCCCCATGCCGACTGCCAAACCTTAATTTGTGACTTTGATACAATGTCAATTATTTTTTGTAATGAAAACCTAGCAGAAAGAAAATATATGAATTCCACTAAATTAACTTCCAAAAAAGGATTGATTGGCTGATTTAATATTTATTAAATTCCACAATGCATTCTCATCACATAAACACACAGAAGCAATTAATAACATGCCATTATTTGGAGATGGAAATGATAAATTAACAACAACTCAGAAAATGGCAATGGAACCCAAACACTAAATTCTTTCAATGATTTGTTTTCCTTATTATTAGTATCCTTGAGATAACTGATGTAAAGAAAAAATACGAATGCTGTTAAAAAGAAATATCTATAATCCTACTGCACTACAGTTAAGGCATTTGCCTGCCAAGAGAAATAAATGATGTTCTTGTGTGTACTTGAAACTTATAAATGGCTGCAGCAAGACACAGGATGATAACAATTGTGCTAAAGTAATAGCTCAGAAAACCATAATTGCTATTTAGTTGCTTTTTGTTGTTAAAAATGCAGAGTTTAGAGCAAATTGGTTACTATGCTGTGTTTGTGATCTTAGACACCTTTCAAGGATATTTAGGCCATGTTAGCTCACTCGCAAATTTTAGTCCGTGGGAAGTATAAAGTGAAAGTGACCTTCTTAAATTCTCTTAGTTATTTCTGCCAATGGTTGCAGAAGGTTAATTCCATTTTGTTGTTTTAAATTTTTCTACCACGCCTCTGGGAGTCAACGCAGTAAAGAATTCTTCCTTTCCCAATGTGCCACACATTGCAGACTCTCAGGATTCTCTTCAATACTCCTGCACAATGGACAGGAATACAGTCTCTCACTGCAGTGGGCTGCGGTAGCAGGAGACCTTTGAGCAATGTGAACATGGTGCAGTGCTACCTGGCAGACCCCGAGTGCCAGGCACCTAGGAAGCCTATCCTGACCTGTAGCACAGCCACTTCTCTGACATTCGACATTCTCACCTTATACAGCATCTGCAAGCAAGATCCTTGCATCGTCAAACCAAAACAACCGAATGTGATGCAACACGTCAACAACGTGAATGTTTATTTTGCTTTAGGAAACAACTTGTACGTAAGAAAATTTCATCCATGGTTTTCCGTGTTTACGAACCTGGCATTAAGGAAAGGCATTAGGCAATGCCTTTTTGAGTTTCCTTTAATGCCTACATATGGTGATATGTTCAAGGCCTTGAAAACATCAATGGGTTAAGCTTTTATGCAGAACTGTACAGTTGATTTTGTATAGTTATAAAACAGTACTGATTTTGAGATCCTACAAGCAAATACAACTTAAGTATTGTCATCTATCCTTTAAATGCTTTTCAGAATTTTACACATCACTTTTTATGACAATTTCTTCAGTGTCTTAAATATTCCAAAGTAAGAGTCCCCCTCAGGAGTTATTAGAAACTACACAAATGCAATAATGTGTTACTTTATGCCACTATAATTGCAGTTGCCTCATGAGAGTAAATAAAACAAAATAAGCAAAAAACAGCCTTCCGTCCCCGCCTCCCACCCCTCCCCGCCAGGAAATGCCTGCATTGCCTAGGGAGCAGCATAACGCGGTACAAGTACCCGGCCGGCCAAGGCCAAAAGATGCCGCAGACTGCAGCCGCAGCGTCTTCCGGGCCAGGTGGCAGCGGCTGTCCGCAGAAGGGCACACTGCAGCGCGCCCGCCACACTTTCTGCGTTGGCACTGCACCAGAGACCACCGTAAAATCTCCTGGCCATCAACAATATACTTTTTGCTGGTCATGAGGAAAGAGGAAGGGGCAGGAGGGAATGTGTGCGTTTTGAGCGTGGCAGGTCATTATTTCCTCACACTCCCTAAAATACTTCTCCTCAAAATATTTACAAGCCAACTTCCTTTATCTGCCCGTTCCCTCAATCTGAAATTGCCTGTCTCTTCAAACGCACTGAATGAGTCAAGGTTTGGCGGTAAACGAACGCATGGATTCAGGAGGATCCGAAGTGCCCATTTCTCAGCTGAGAAATAGCACCTAGTTTGGGGGTGTAACAGTTCACGTCTGCAGACCGGAGCGTTCTCCTGAGGGAGTGCTCCCACTTTAAAGAGGGGCTTGGAGAGGGTGGGCCTCCGGTGCCTGGAAAACCCCAATTCCCAGGGAAGGCCCTTCCCGGTGTTCACGCTTCAGCGTGCGAGGAACCCCCCGCAAGCAATAGCTCACCCGGCTGCATCCTCCAAAGCCCCAACTTCGGGGCGGGGCGCGGGGAGGTGGGAGGTGGGGGTAGCACCGCCTGCAGGCTCCCGCCAGCGCCTCACGGTTTTCCCCCTGGCTCCTTGGCGCCCCCTGTCGCCGAGCTCCCCAGCAATTCGGCCCGGGGAGGCTGGATAGGTGGAAGCCCCGGGTGTCGGGGAGCGGAGAGGCGCCGGGTCTGTGCACCCGCGGCCCGCGCGGACTGGCGGGCGGCCCCGCGGGAGGGCGCTGGGCGCTCAGGCCCGGGCGCAGCCCGCGGCCGCCGCCGAAGCCGCCGCAGCCATGTCCGCGCGCCCGCGTTGCCGCAGCCCGGCCGTGATGTCATCAGGCGAGCCCCCGCCGCGGCGCCCCATTCCCGCCCCCCGCGGGCCGCCGCCGCTGCAGCCCGGGCGCCGCGTCCCCGCCCCGACCCACGTGCGCCCGGCTTCTGGGATGCCGAGGCCGGCGGCGGCCGCAAGACGATGCGCGGGACCCGGGTGGCCACAGCGGCAGTGCTGCTCCTCCCAGCCCGCCGCGTCCCTGGCGGGGCTGCGCCCGGGGGCTGCGCACGGACGGGGGCGGGGGCGCCTGGGGAGGGAGGGGAGAGACTCCCCGCCGCCAAGTCCCTGCCTCGTCGCCGTCTGCTGAGTCATGGCAAGCTCTCCCCGCAGCCCTGGATCACTCGTATAGCGCGGCTGGCGCGGGGTGCGCAGCCATTGGGCTGGTCGCGGGGCCGCGAGCGCCGGGCATGACGCGCTGAGCCGCGCTCGCCCGTGCCCGCCGCTTCGTGGTGCGCCCGGCACGGGTTACTGTGCCGCCGCCCTCCAGCCCCGCCGCCTCGCCGCCCCCGCCTCGCCCGCACCATGATCGCCGCGGCTTTCCTCGTCTTGCTGAGACCCTACAGCATCCAATGTGCCCTCTTCCTCTTGTTGCTTCTGCTGGGCACAATCGCCACCATCGTCTTCTTTTGCTGCTGGCACCGCAGGCTCCAGAAAGGGAGGCATCCGATGAAATCGGTCTTTTCGGGTCGTTCAAGGAGCCGAGGTAAGACACGCCGCGACGAATTTCTTCGGGCTGAGAGGCACATTTAAGCCAATTTGGAGAGTGAATTGGAGCTCGGGTCCGCGCTGCGGTCCCTACCCCCATCATCGCCTACTCCGCAAGCCTAGTACGTTTATGTGTTTAAACATCCCTTGCCCGTTTTGCCCTCACCGCCTTCCTCCGGTATCCCCGGATGGGATAGCCACGGTGATGTCCAGCCCTCGGAAGGGAGGCACGGACGCAAATTCTAAGTGTCAGTTTGCTAAGGGTAATAAGAGCGGAATCCGGGGCTGCGGCATCCTCCCTTGACCCATCCATCGCTGGAGCTTAGGGGTAAGAAAGTCAGGCATGGAGAGTTCGGGGCTCCTCTACTCTCCCAGAACTTTCCCTGAAACTTCTCGCGGAGAACTCACCTAGAGACCGGTGGCCTAGTAACCTCCCCGCCCTACAGTGTGTCCCCACCGAAATCAAGGCGTCTGGAATGTGCCTTCCTGACCCTTGTATCTCACCTAAGTCATTAGTAACTCTGCAGGTGAAGAGCAAGGAGTTAAATGAAATCTCGTTTTTTTCTCTTTTCTCCCCAGATGCTGTTATGAGATCCCACCACTTTCGTTCTGAGGTAATTTATTTAGCGCGCACGCTCAAGGTCAGAAGAAGTTCTCTTTCCTGAGTACCAATATTAATCATATGCGTGTTAAGAAACCAGTAGGGCATTGAATGGCGAGCATGCTGCCCCCAAGCCGAAAGTGACGTTTCTTTTTAAGCGGTTCCCCAACATTAGTGCCTAGCAAACGGACGGTGTTCACAGATTTCTTGTGGAGCGGAGCCGCTGTACCAGAGGGGCAAAGACAGCCCCTAAAAAGCGCTACAGACCTTAGGAAACTTAGCCCCCGGGGTGGATCTCCGTTTCATTTTACAGTCTGTAATTTGCCGGTGGAAGCTCTCTGGGTGCTTTCGGCTGGCTGTGGTGGTTCCCTTGAACTTGGATAGCCGACGACAGAGATGAGCTTTTAGGAAGTTAGTGCAGAGCCATTTGATCCATAGGCATTTCATTTTAGGCTTTCAAGCGTACCTTCATATTCACCCATAAAGCTGTCCATGTTTTATTGGGGCCATCTGAGGAATTTTGCAAAGTGATGGCTGGTGATCTGGCTTTATCTGATCGTGTGTGCTGCTCTTTGCTTTCGGAATGTGGACCATACCTCCGTGAGCAAGTGATGTGGGTGCAGTGATGAGGATGGACTACTGTGGGACTGAGCCCCACTGAAGGTAGAGCAAAACAAAGCACAAGCTCTCCGTGGCCCAGCGTCCCTCTATGAGTTTCCAGGCCAACCCCCACTTAGTGTGAGATAATTTTCTCTCTTTTCAGGAGAATTTCACACAGCCAGGCTGGGAGGTTACTGGTAACAATGCTTGATGTGGTTTACTCATGAAGCAAAGACTTCATAGTTAGACACCCTCCATTTCCTTGACATTTACCTGAGAAGTTATTCCACATTTCGTTTCACTAGTTAATCAGATGTTTTATTGCACCCTAGATGTTTTATTGGGCTCTGGTTGCTTGAAAGCATTAACTGCATTATTAGAACGTCATTATAATGTTGCACAGTGAGTAATTCTACTGCATTGAGCCCTGGAGTGTGTAAACTCCGTTCCCAATTTAGGATACTTAAGAGAAAAAATTAACTAGTCAGATAATCAAGAGGTTCTGCTCCTGTCTTTACACTAACTAGCTGTGTGGTTCTGGGAAACTTTCTTAACTTCTCAGCACCTCAGTTTCCCTATCTGAAGAGTAGAACCAATAGTACCTTGTAGAGTTACAGTGGGAGGGGAGATTTACAAGTAATTATGTAAAAAAAAATACTCATTTCATAGTAAATATTCAGTACTGAGTAGCAGTCATTACATCTTGTAAAGTTGAATTTAAAAATGTGGAAGAATAAAAATCTTCGCAGAATTTGAAGTCTTAATTAAGCTGACTAATTGAAATTTATGGGAGACAACATAAACTGTGTCTATTATGAAGCAGCATTTTTGGATATCTGATTAATAGACTAACTCCTGACAAAAAATAAACAATGGTCAGGGTGCAAACATCAAAATTTAGGATTTTGATTTTAAAAAGACATTACCAGCTCCATTCACATAAGTGATAGAATCAAGATAATCCTTTTATGGATTATTATATTAGCCATTAGACATTTCAGCTAAAACACAAAAAATTGAGATAAAAGTATGTCTTGTTTAGTTATCTCTGAGTTAAGCATTTGTCCTGAACTTGCATTTGGTTAGGAAAGCTGGGAGCAGTTGGTTAATGCTTTAACGCATTTCACAAGTCCCTAGTCCGGTTTGACGTGTTGTCTAGACTTCTCACATTTGCCCCACCCGTTAGCCTGTGAGCTCCTTGAGGACATAAATCATGTCTCTCTTGTTTAGGGCCTATCCCAACTGCCCGGTATATAGTGGGTCCTTACGAAATACTTATTGAATGAATGAAAAATTTCTCAGTGTGTGCCAGTTCCTGACCAAGAGTTGGTCAACAAAAAAAGTGCACATTCTTAGGATATTGTGTGGAATTCAACATTTGCTGAATCTCTTTCTAGCTTGTAAAAATTGCCCTGGAATTTGTATTAAAAATGTAAGTCACTAATTATAACAAAATGGATTTGCTTAGAATATTTTTTCCTCAGTGTGACTCACTGACTCAGTCCGTGGAGAATGCTGAGTCTTGATTTTGGGGTTGTGGGTTCGGACCCCATCTTGGGTGTGGAGCTATTAAAAAAAAGGAAAAAAAGTTTTTTTCTTGGGAAATTAAATACAATATTGGCTTAACTTGTTGATGGGCTACTTATGTTCCTTTTTGTACCAAATTTCTTTGATAAACTACTTAAAGAATATTGTTTTATAAGTGAAAATCCTGAAACTGTGTTGTATGAAAGTGTCATATTTCCTCACTGTGGTAAAATATTTCCATATCTTACCACAAATAAAACATCTCCCTATGAAGAAAGCATTGGAAATTATTTTTTCTTCTCCCCTTTTCTCAAAATGCCATTTCTAGAAGGATTTTCTCCTTGTGAATTACCTCTGAATATTTTGGGTTTCATCATTTTAAAAAATTAGAATTTGAGCAGCATAATGGATATTCTTATTGCTTTTTAGTAGTAGCTGCTACAAAAATATTTCTCAAAGAAATTGTTTTGATTTTTGACAAGTCATAATCATATTGAACTAAGAAGTTAGGTGCCTTCCTCATTCCAATCTCAGTAAGTAGATAATTTACTTTCAGCATTTCCATAGTGGTCAAATGAGGAAAATGAGTTTAGGATGTGCTGACTCATTTTGGAATGTGAAAGAGCTTTGGGAAAGCCCTTGAACATGTCAAGAAGTTTGTGAGGCCCATGCTGCTTTTCCTGGCAGAGGATAATGCTTCTGCTACCTATGTGCCCAGGAAGGAGTCCAACTGGACTGGAAATTTCAGGATGTTCCTTCCCAGGTAGTCAGAGAATTACTTGTCCAGGGGGAAAGACCCTGGCATCAGAACCCTCTTTGCTTTGTAAGGAAAGTCACATCTCTCGTCTGAGGAGGTCCAGCTTTGTTTTCTTCACTAAGTATATAATATACACATTTCTTCAATATGCAGCAGTTTCTTCCTCATGAAGCAATAACTAAATAATATCCATGTTTATAAGATGTTTTGGAACTGTAACCACCTATCAGCCCTTTTGATTTTGATACACTTGTAAATTCATCTTTACTGGCTTGATAGACCTCTGAATTTTAATAATAGCATGTGAGAATGTGAAACTATTAACCCAGCCAAGTAACTGAAGGCTGTAACTCCAGCTCACTGACAGTTATAAAGACCCAATGAGATAGATAGAAATATGTGTTTTATGTATGAATATAAAGAACTTGTGTAGTTTTGGGGGTTTTTTTGGTCATAAACAGCTAATGAAGAGAAGTGACTTCACATTGAAGTAGGACACAGAGTAGAAAGCAGGTGTTTAATCTGGGTATCTAAGAAGGGTACTTTTTCTGAGGATTTATGTTTTATGCTGTGACTTCACACAATGGTTAACTGTTTCCCTGGATTCCTGTGGTGAAAATTGGGCAATGACAATCCTGATTTTAAGGAAATTTCAGAAAGTGATATGGGTAATTGAGGTACCATTAGATTTCAAGAAAGAGTCTTGGGAGTACTTCAATGAAGACAATTATAATGTCCTTTGAGAATACCCAGAGTGAACAGTGGTAAATGATCCCTATTCATCAGCTCAGTGGAATAAGGGAAGCCTTGTTTCACATAGGGAGGGGGAAGAGTGTGGTGTATGTCTATCAGGATTTGAGTAAATATCTTCACTTCCTGTTTCAGGTAAAGGAACCAAAAGAGTTAAATTAAGCAGTTCCCAAAGAGTCACATAGCAAGATAAGGACTGAGTAAGACAAGAACTCCCTGGCTACATTTTGTCTGCCCTGTGGTTAACTGTGTCACTCATAGCTCAGGGAATAATATGCCCAACATTCTCAATGAAAGGGGCAAGCTAAGTTGAGTGCATTGTTAATGGACATTTCTTACAAAGCAGAATAGATTAATCCTTTAGGCTTTTCCAGTGATTATCCAAGTTATCCTAGATGAAAGGATGTTCCACATAAACTCTCTTGGCCTCATTATATTCCCAGAGTGAACCTTTATCAAAAAATGCAAGAACAGTCTGCAAAATAACCATATTTCATAACTTCTCATTAAATGTGTATATTTCATTGAGAATTACCCAATTTAGCACATTACAGAAAATGATAGTTTGTTATTTAGCTCTCTTTTATAATTGGGTTATCTTTATAAATAAATTCTTTGCCTAGAGTTAAATTCTAGGTCTAAATTAATTTATTCTCATTAAATCAGTCAAAATTGAACTCTATACATGATATGGTATTCATTTATCTTCATGCAATTATTTTGAAAACAAATAAATTTCCTTTTTTTTCTGTATAACATGTGATGTTAGATAGTAGAGCTAACAGAAGGTCTGAGGTATAGCCTCTGCCCTTGACAATTATTTCTAGGTCATTTCCTATATCAGTACTGAAATATTATAGTTGCTAGTTTCTTCTGATACGGTAACTGAACTGCTGTGCTGTTTCCAACTGTGAATCACAAATGTGGCAAAAGCATCAAAGGCCAGGGTATACAAGTACAGCCAATATATTTGTAAAAAAGACAAATTCACCCTGTTCACAGGGCTTTATTCAGCCAGCATTCACCACTACCATATAATTTATCCTTGCTTTAGCTACATGGCAACAAAACAGAGTGCTAAAAGGACAAAAAAAAGAAAAAAAAAAGAAAGAAGGAAGAGAAGCCCTTTTTTCCCCCATGCAATCCAAGCCAATTAAATGCAATCTAGATGAAAGTTGAAATAAGAGTTTTCCAGAGAAGTTTGAATCTTTGTGTAATTTTTTTTTTTTAAGATTTTATTTATTTATTTGACACAGAGAGAGATCACAAGTAGGCAGGGAGCTAGGCACAAAGAGAGAGGGGAAGCAGGCTCCCTGCTGAACAGAGAGCCCGACGCAGGGTTTGATCCCAGGACCCTGAGATCATGACCTGAGCTGAAG